AAAGCCCCTGGAGCCTGGGGAGGGCGAAAAAAGCATTAAAAAGCAAAAAATGGGGGGGGGTTTGCACATGTCATGTGCGTATGTATGCTGGGGGGGTCACGCATTGCATTATGGGTGTGGCGCGCCCGCACACGACCTCCCTGCACTCCCCCTGCTTACGGCACGTGAGCCAAAAAAGGTTCGCCATCACTGTTCTAGAGCCTTGGGAATTGAAAATAGAAAGTCCTCAACATCTGATCAAAGGTGAATTATGCAAACTCAGGATTTGGCGTGGCAATTTTTTGCAACGTAATATAATTTTAATCAGTATTTTCTCTGTGATTTTTTAGAAGTAAGGTACAATATTTTTTAAGATAAGATTTCTATTTCTTCAGACTGCAGCTGAAATATATATTTCCCTTATGGGATAGTAAATGATTAAGAAAAAAGTACAGATATTATGGGAATTACTGATAAAACATTTTTGCTATCTACTTGAAAATTGTTTCAGATTTTGGAGAAACCTATCATTCTGCAAGCTGAAATGCATAAAAAAAATAATACCTAAATAGTTATATTCTTGCCTTTCTAATACAGTGATGTCCTGTTTTTGTGATCAACTTTCTGTGAAGGATGTATTGCCTGTCATCTTTATCTTTAGGTAAAGGGAATTTATTCCTAATCCAGTTTCTGTCTTTACCAGCATGGAATTTGTCAGTCTTTTTCTATGCTATCTCATTTTTGCTCACAGAACATCAGTTGGTTAAGCAATAACAGTTTAGAACATCTTTTTTTTAAGACTTTCCTTTTTTTGGAACATCTTTTTTTTAAGCTTAAGGTTGATAATTTGAGGAAATTACTTATTGGGAAACATCTATGTGGTTTTTCGTCCAGGTAATCAGACATGAATAACTTGCTTGGCAAATATGAACTGTTCTGGTTAATGGCATCAGGTTTTATGTTTGGATTCCCATTCCTCTGTGTGCCTTTAAGTTCATTGTTTAGAAGTTGTGGAAACTACCTTGTTCATGTATCTATAGCATGGTCTGTCTTCGGGATCCATATTATCAGTGCATAGTGATAACAGACAACTCTTCATTCATAAGATAGTGCCATTTAAATATCAGGGCTAGGTGAATCATAAAAGCTATCATTATATTCTACTTGTAAGCATCTAAATGGATTTGATTGACACATTTTGAAAATGATGTAAGGAGCAAGATTCTCTTTAATATCCAAGAAGAATATTTTGTACATAGTTTGTTTCTCTTTTATCTATTATATATCTGCTAAGCTTTGAACCTAGCTTATCTAAATGTTTAAACCAGAACACATAATTTTACTCAAAAAGATTGTTCATTTTCAATCTTGTTTCATTCCCTGGTTCTCATAGGAATCCTTCAACTACTTTCTACCAAGTGTTTCATTCGAACAAGTTACAGGAATCAAAGAACCTCTGGGATAGGTATGAATATTTGAGTATGGAAAGCATACATGCTTAAGTATGCATGAAGAGCTTTGCACTGTGCAGGTTTCTCGTCATCAAGTAATATGTTCGTTTTAGTATCTTCTTCCTTTTCCTTCCTTTATTTGCCATGTAGGGGAATTAAAGTATCTCAAAATTTCTTAGTTACATAACTGTTGTCTTTTGGGCCATGTGTAATCTTGCTCCATTGCATATATCACAAGCTTTTTCTGGGAGAAGAGTATTTTAAAATTAGATGTTCATTGATATTAAAATGAGAACTTCTATCAGTTGTAACTAGCAACAGTTCAGACTTAATGTTTGAAAACTATCAGTAGTAAAAATGGCCTGACTAAAGTATTTTGAAAATAAATCAGAATCTTAAATTTCAGAGTTAAGAACAGTAAATATGGGATCTATATTTATTGGACAAAATAACAATTATAACATATCTACAAATTGAATCATGATAAATTAAAGCATTAAAAGATTGAATTACAGCAAGGCAATTGGCGAGAAACTGCAACAAATTCAACTTTGAGGATATCACTTGTCAAAGTTGTGTTACTAATTCAACAGCTGCAATTTGCTTTCTCACAATATTAGCAGATTCCAATATTAAAAGATTGGAATGTTGGCTTTTCAGGCTTATGGTGTTCTTGTCTGTTTTATATTTTCTACTGCTAATTGAACATTAAGCATCATTGTTTGTTTGCATTTGTGGTATTGAAGCAAAGAAAACTGAATGGCTTTTCTTAAAGCTTGCTCAATTCACATGCTTGCTGATTTCAACATTTTAAAGAACACATTTTAGATTAAAAATACAGTATTTAAAATCACAATAATCTGAATTACTCATATTTAAAACAAATTCAAAAGAGCTTATAAAGCCATTGTTTTCAGTATTGAGATTGAGATCCTCAAGTACTTTTAATAGCTTATTTCCACTTTTGGGGTTTCAATATGCCATAAGACTAAAGAAAAATAATAATTCTGTGGTTTTGTGTGTTGAGTCTCAGATCTACTAGCTCCATGAAGACAAGCACTATAGGGGTCAAAGAGGAATCTAGTAATATTCATCTCACTGATTTAGTTTCGAAAGCAAAATTTCCTAATATCATTGCTACCTATCAGTTTCATGCATTGCAAATTTAACCAAAGGGAACATGGCTGATAGAAGCTTGATTCAATTTCTGGTATTCTACCACAAATAGAGAAAAGAAATTGTCGGTTTGTTTAGAAAAAGGTCAAATAATATAATACAAAATTGGAGGAAGAACATATAACCAAAGAAAGACCAAAAATGTGGAGATAGTATCAGAAAGATTGAAACGAGATGTGCTGAGTTCACAAATGTCCAATGAGTGAAAAGGAGCCTTCCTGAGTGTGTCAGAAACAAAAAGAAAAGCAAATAGGCTGTAAAATTGTTGTGGGGAATAAGGAATAATAATAGATGAGAATACAGAATACCATAATTATTTTCAAAGCTTTTTCCCTGAAAGGAAATAAAGCCGTGTTTGGCTACGATTGTGCCCCTAATGCAAGGAGGAAGTTGCCACACAAGCTAGGCAAGATGAGGCTAAAGGAACACTTACCCACTTTAAATGAACTCAAACATCAGGGGCTAGATGAGTTACATTCTGGACTATTGAGATGATTACATTAACTTGAATGTAATTGTTGAATAATTGTTGAGAACTCCTAAAGATCTAGCAAGAACTCAGAAGACTGGAAGAAAGCAAATGTATCTATAAGGAAAGAAGGAGGGCAGGTAGTTGGTTTAGATATCCTTTCCAATTCTGTGATAATGTTGGAATAGATAGAACTGTTTGAAGACAGATTCATACTTATTCTCCGTGGCAGGTTGTTCTTTCAAAATGTGTGCAGAATTCATTTCAGCATTTCCTTCAGATCGTGTCTTGCTCCGCTGAGGCAACTTTAGTATCTCAAGAGTATCTATTTGAGAGCTATCAAGAACTCTGGAAAGCCTCGGATTTCATGGAGAAATTCATAGTCTTTTTGATAAATAATAAGGAAGGTTTTTTCTCTTTCACGTGGGAGATAGCTATTATTTATATATTGATATGTACAGTATATGATATTTTATTGCTATCCATATAATAGTCTAATATATGGATCAGGTTTCTTTAATCTGAAATTTGATAAATGTAGAAAACATGGATATTACAGTTAAAGGGGAGAAATTGATTGTAGACTATAGCCTACTTATTAAATGCTGATTTTTTTTTGCCAGACATTTCTGTTCACACTATTTTGTATGGTGTGGCTTGAGTGCAAATGTTGCATTTTGTGAACTGATAGGTTCCCTCAGTACATAAAGACACTAGTGGAATAGAGAAAGAGCAACTTTTTCTTTTCTATCACTGATACGGCCTCTGTGTTCATTCAACTCTACAAACTCTGCAGCAAACCCTTCAACTCTACTTTGGAAGGTTTAGGAATCTAAACACATGGAGTTTTAAGAGAAGAGTTTCAACCAAACAAGACTTTCTGAGGGAATAAAACTGAATCCATGATACTGGAAACAAATCCTGAATCTAATTTATTGACTTTTGAATCTAACTACATTGACATTGTAGTTGTAGTGGATGTATCCATAACTCAGAATTCTGTTATATATTTATTTATCAAATTTATAAACCATCTATCTCATCTAAGGGATACATTCTAGTGGGAGAGAAGTTCCCTGAGGATGGGCTCTAGCACAAGTCCAAAAGTTGAGAAGACAAAAATACTGGTCCTGGTGACCAACCCAGATTGGATCCTGACTCTGGTCAGTTTACACATAAAAACCATATAGCCATACAAAAGAGATAGAGATTAAAATTAAGTTAAAAAACAGGAGTAAAATCAAGTTTAAAAAGTTAAAAAGAGGAAAGGGTGTTCTCATGCACATCACCCTTTTTTTGTATTTGTTTTCGTTTATCAACATGTGTCTCTTGATCCCTATGCCAGTTGCCAAAGCTAGACCTTGACATCCTTCTAGAAGATCAGCAGAGTGGGAGCCCATCACAACTTTAGTGCCGAAATGTTTTATCTAAGTAACATTGATTCACAAGTGTATATCCAGATGCTTCATATAAAGCAATTCTAAGGAATACAAAATCTGCTTATAATGTAATATAAGCCTTTTTTCCCCTTTGAAATTCTGATTAGGAGTCAGTACTTACATAGATAAGGTGAGTAGCATCCATGAACAAGAGGGAGATGTGAATAGGGTCAAATTAGGCTATATTGTCCTGTAATGGAGGGGTTCTCAAAATGTATGATAATCATGATTCCCTAGAGTAATAAATGAATTTGTGCACTGATTTGAAAATTATGATGTTACCTACCATATTGGAGATGACCAGCTGGCAAAACCAGTTGCTGATCACATTATGTTTCTACTACATATGATTTTGACTGTTCTTTATACTCTTGGGTTTAGCCATCTCTAAAAATTCATTCTTGGACCTTGAGCAGTATGAGCTAGGTATTTGAAGAAACCTTTCTGTCTTAGATACAGTATTTTACATTATTGTTTTAAGAATTAAACACCTTGGCCAGGTTGAAGCTTCCTTTGGGAAGACACCATGTTTTTTTCTTACCACTTGTTGCTAGGTGCAGTAACCTCAGGAGCCTTTCACTACTTTAATTACTCAGAATAAGAGATTGTGGAATAGCTTTAAAAAGGACACACCAGGGAGCAATCAAACTGCTGCTTGCCCTAGTATATTTTTGCTGGTTGGCCTAGTATATTCTGACTTTGCGATAAATGCAAGAAAATGGGAAATAAAGTCTGCCTATCGGTATTGACAATTTTGTTTAGTCACAGCTCTCCTCTTTGTGATGATCCATATTGTGTGTTGAAAATACTGCCCCTAGAATTCTGAGCCAATGGCCATTTCCAGTCTCAGTACATCTGACATATTGGTTTGACTCAGCATTTCATTCAGTTTGTATTTGGAAATGAGTTGTTCTGATTTGTACTTCCTGAACCTCTTTAAATTCTGAACTTCTCCAAATTAGAATGTAGTATTTAACAATGTTCTAGAAAGTTTGTGTGCATCAGCATGTTCTGTTTCAGATATGTTCACTAAGTAATTAAAATGTTTTATTGGCAGTAACAATTCTAAAAATAAGACTGTTAACTTTCAAAGAAAGTTTCTCATCAGTTATCTTACGTCAATTTACCATGTTAAACCTTTACTATTTACCACTGATATAATCATTCAGACTCATAATTTTTAAAAACGTTTTTGTTCATCTGCTTTCCCATCTCACCAAATAGTTAGATGATTATTAGATAGTACTTAAAGTTGTATGAGTCAATAATAATTGAATTTAATATTTGGTTTAAAAGATTTTGATTTTCAGTTTAATAAAATGTTTAACTATAAAATTATTAAACTTCATTAGCTACTTTAATTTTGGCAAAATGTTTTGACAATAGTATATATGGTTTGCAAAGTATCAGCCCAATATAGTCAAGCATTTCATCATAGCTATCTATAAAATACTTTCTCTTAATATTTTTTAGGATAAAAACTGGGAATGAAAATGGAAAGTAGGGTAATTGATTTTTAGTTCAATATAAATATTTCTTCTTTCTGTGTCTCCAAGCAAATTTTTCTAAACAGATTCTATCAGAATTGAGACACAGACAGAACATTACTTCTTCAAAGATTGTTATAGGGACATATGAGAGAAAAACTAAACAGCAGACTACCTATATTAGTGTCAAAAAGCCTCTGCTTTATCTACATATGGAAGGAAAGCTACAGTGGAGAGAGCTCAGACTAAATCTGATAAAAGTCTTCAAAGTTACAAACTACCTTTGGATCTTAAACATCTGATTCATCTGATATCAAAGATTCTACCCAAATATCTTACATATGCATCTTACATATGTATATAGAGAAAGGTAGATAAACTTGTGAAATAAAAAATGAAAAAAATCTCTGCTTCTCCAGCTTCAGATTATGTATCTTTTCACT